GCTACCAATCAGCCTGCATGAAGACCGGTCACCTGTCATGTGTGAATTCCTTACATTCAGTTTAAATTGTCCTTTAAAGATCTATTTAGAAAATACCTTTGAAAAACAAGGGTAACTTTAAAAAATGGAAACTTTCAAACTCATTTATATTTTTATTATAAACAAAAATTAATTAAGAGTTTAATAAACTGGATGAAAACCCACCAAGTGCCAGGCTAACTAGCAATTAGAAAAATGGTAATTTGCCAGCATTTTCTCATCGGAGTTCTCTCTCCAGTAAGGGTATATCTAGATCTGTAAGAGTCAGTGGACTCTGCATCGATTTTATGTTTGAGATTTTTCCCTCCCACCATGTATTGGCCGGGCATGGTGGCTCACACCTGTAATCCCAGAACTTTGGGAGGCCAAGGCGGGTGGATCGCCTGAGGTCAGGAGTTTGAGACCAGCCTGACCAACATGGTGAAACCCCATCTCTACTAAAATACAAAAATTAGCCGGGTATGGTGACAGGAGCCTGTAATCCCAGCTGCTCAGGCGGCTGAGACAGGAGAATTGCTGGAACCCAGGAGGAGGAGGTTGCAGTGAGCTAAGATGATGCCACTGCACTCCAGCCTGGGCAACAGAGTGAGACTCCATCTCAAAAAAAAAAAAAAATCACCAAGTATTAGGATACTAATGATAGTCCCTATATCCATCCAGAAGCACTGACCACCCCATGCTCCACACTCAGAGCCTGCCTGGAAGCTCCCCCACACTGAGGTACAGGAGAATGCCTGCTTTCAGTCATTTCAGGGCTGTGATAACACATGAGCAAGGAGCACTGTGTGAGTCTCTGGGAGGGAATCCTCCTGGGGCCCAGAGACTCCTCCACTCCTGAGGAGGGCAGGCAGTCTGCGGAGAACCTGGCCAGGCCCCTGGAGGCTGGCAGGGGGCAGGCATGTCCCACCCACACAGGTCCCCCTGTTCCGATGGCACCGGGATCCCCTGTCCTTTTTCAGAGAATGTATGTTTTTGAGCAACTGATTATCAGGGTGATGATCTGTTGAACATACCTCCTCATAGAGCATGAACTGCATGAAGGCAGGGCTCCTGTGTGCCTTGACCACTCTATGCCCGGTGTCTAGCACAGGGCCTGGCACATAGTAAGAACTCCATAAATCCTTGTTGAGTGTGGGAATTAATGCTCTTTGGAACACTGAATTCCAGGGCTGGCATGGAGGTGGGCAAGGAGAAGGTCTTGGAGCTCTACTTAGAGCTAATGTGGAACTGGAGAAAAAGTTATTTAAATTTCAGAAGGGCACTTTGGGAGGCTGAGGTGGGCAGATCCTCATGGTCAGGAGTTCAAGACCGGCCTGGTTAACACAGTGAAACCCTGTCTCTATTGAAATACAAAAATTAGCTGGGCGTGTGGCATGTGCCTATGGTCTCAGCTACCAGGGAGGCTGAGGCACCAGAATCGCTTGAACCCAGGAGTTGGAGGTTGCAGTGAGCCTAGATTGTGCCACTGCATTCTAGCCCGGGTGACGGAGCAAAATTCTATCTCAAAAGAAAAAAAATTCAGAAGGAAACTTCTCACCACTTGTATTCATAACTGCAATCTGGACTTACTAACTGGTAAGTCTAATGGACACATATTCCAAGGGGAACTTCCCCGACAGAGTCCATCCTGGGCTAGTGTTATAATAAGGTGGTTGGCTCCTTGTCCCTCTTGTCATTCTTTGGATGAATAGCTTGGTGCATATAGAAAGTAGCCATTTCCCTCCTACTTTTACCCTTCGAATTGTGGACACTGAGCCTGTTTGTTTGTTTTAAGACAGGGTCTCGCTCTGTCACCCATGCTGGAGTGCAGTGGCTCAATCTTAGCTCACTGAAACCTCTGCCTCCCAGAAGATTCTCCCATCTCAACTTTCAAGTTGCTGGGATGACAGGTGTGGACCACCACATTCGGCTAATTTTTGTATTTTTTTTGTAGAGACAGGGGTCTTGCCATGTCGCCCAGGTTGGTCTTGAACTCCTGAGATCAAGCAGTCCACCTGCCTTGGCCTCACAGAGTGCTGGGATTATAGACGTTAGCCACTATGCTAGGCCCCCTGAGCCTATTGTAACCCATAATTGGAATGGTGAGTTTGGGAATATAAATTGAGACAGTGACGATTATTTTTAAAAAGTAATAAACAACTTATATTTATTAAATGCTTTCTTTGTAACAGACATGTATTATTTTATTTATTTATTTATTTATTTATTGAGATGAAATCTTGCTGTTATTGCCCAGCCTGGGGTGAAATGGCACGATCTCAGATGGCTGGAACCTCCACCTCCCGGATTCAAGCAATTCTCCTGCTCCAGCCTCCTGAATAGCAGGGATAACAGGCACCCATCACCACGCCTGGGGCTAATTTTTGTACTTTTAGTAGAGATCGGGCTTCACCATGTTGGCCAGGCTGGTCTTGGACTCCCGACCTCAGGTGATCTGCCGCCTCGGTCTCCCAAAGTGTTGGGATTATAGGCATGAGCCACTGTGCCTGGCCTATTTTAAATAAATCTATGGTAATTCCAGGTGTTAGGTACTTTTATTATTTCAATTTCATAGATAAATGAACTGGGTTTTGGAGAAATTAGATTAGAGTTAGAATTAGATTAGAATTAGAATGACAATATGTGCTTGTGGACACATTATAAGTAGCTGGTAAAGCTGGGATTCAAATTCATGTCTGTCTGGCACAGGCACCCAAACACTTAACTTCTGTTCTGCATCGCCAAAGGACTGGAAATTTTTATAAATGATTTCTTGCTGTCTGATGGTCTTTTGAAACTTCATTTACACTTTCACCTGAAGTGCCTTTTGAAACTGTCATTTTAAAGTGCCCTGAGGGTGGGAGGCACTTTTCTTTCCATATCAGGAGATGACTGAAACCCAAAATCTGTGTTCACCTTTCCATGTTTGAGTAAGTGCAGGCGTTGCCTAGACTTTCTTGATTTTACAAGGATGTTTTCAGGAAGCCAAAGCAACAACAAAAACAGAAAAAGCCCCTTGACTCTATAGAGAAGGCAGTTTGTAAAGAAATAGGAAAGAAAATACACAGGGATTTACCAACTTTAAATTCCATTTAAACTGATTACGTTCAAAGGCTCTAAGTCTGATGCTTGTCAAAGGACTTTGACCCAAACAGAAGGGTTGATTTTAAAAAGTATTCCACAGGGTAAAGTTTGGGTGAGAAAAAAGTCGTCGAAACAGAGGCTAAATTAATAAATAAGAGGCTTTTGTCAGCTGCAAGGTCCTGATAAAACTGCTTTAAAGTCTATGCGTTCTAGAATCCTTGTTGATAACCAAGAACAATCCCTCACATAGATCTTTAAATTAAAAAGCCTAAAGTAAATAAACACCAGGTAAAGACTTTCTGCTCCCCAGATTATTACTTAATTGATGAGGCTGATCCATATTCACTTTTTGCCTTAACTATAGAGAGAAAAATAAAAATTTCTGACATTATTTATTATGTATTAGCTTTTTTTTGTTATTGTTTTGTTTTGAGACAGTCTCATCCTGTTGCCAGGCTGGAGTGCAGTGGCACAATCTCAATTCACTGCAACCTCCGCCTCCTGGGTTCAGGTGATTCTCGTGCCTCAGCCTCCCAAGTAGCTGGGACTACAGGCATGCGCCACCACACATGGCTTATTTTTTTATTTTTTGGTAGAGATGGGATTTCACCATGTTGGCCAGGCTGATCTCAAACCCCTGACCTCAAGTGATCCCCGCACCTCGGCCTTCCGAAGTGCTGGGATTACAGTTGTGAGCCACCATGCCCAGCCTCCTGTATTTGTTTTTATTAGAGTAATACATGTAACTGGTAAAAAAAAAAAAAAAATGAACTGTGCAGGAAGATAGAAAATGAAAAACAGAAGCTCTTTCCTACCACTATCAAGTTCCTCTCCTAGATCATCACATTACTTTTCTTCTGCATCTCTCCAGAAAAATAAGGTGTGTGTGTGTGTGTGTGTGTGTGTGTGTGTATATATGTGCATATGATGAAATATATAGTCTTTTAAAAGAATTTTACTACATCCATTTAAACTTTCCTTTTTCCTATATAATGGAGATTTTATAAACCGACAAAGAGAGACCAATTGCATTTTAAAAGTTATTATTTTTCATTTTGAAATGATTACAAACCTGTAGAAAATTTGGAACTACTGTGTATCCAAAAAAAATACAAAAACAATTTCTGAGTGATTTGAGAGAAAGTTACTGACCTGATACCCCATCACACCTGAATACTCTAGAATGTATTTCCTGTGAGGACATTTCCCTACATTAACTGTGATACAGTGATTGAAATCACAAAATTAATTAATTAATTAATTTATTGAGACAGAGTCTTGCTCTGTCGCCCAGGCTGGAGTGCAGTGGCACTGTCTCTGCTCACTGCAAACTCTACCTCCCGGGTTCAAGCAGTTCTTCTGCCTCAGCCTCTTGAGTAGCTGGGATTACAGGCGCCCACCAGCACGCCTGGCTAATTTTTGTATTTTTAGTAGAGACAGGTTTCACCATGTTGGCCAGGTTGGTCCCCAACTTCTGATCTCAGGTGATCTGCCCACCTCAGGCTCTCAAAGTGCTGGGATTACAGGCGTGAGCCACTGCCCGGCCAAAATCAGAAAATTAATAACAATTCACTATTTCCATAATTCTCACATTATTTAAGTTTTGTCAGTTGCCCCAGTAGTGGCTTTTACAGCAAAAGGATCCAGTTCAAATCACAAATTGCATTTAGTTGTCAGGTCTTTTTATTCTGCTTCAGTCTGGAGCATTTTCTCAATCTTCTCTTGACTTTCATGATCTTTATACTCAGGCTGGAGTACATTAGTGTGATCTCTGCTCACTGCAATCTCTGCTTCCTGGGTTCCAACCATCTTCCCACTCAGCCTCCTAAGTAGTTAGGATCACAGGCATGCACCACCACACCCAGCTATTCTTTTTTTTTTTTGTATTTTTTTGATAGAGACGGTGTTTCACCATGTTGCCCAGGCTGATCTCAGACTCCTAGCCACAAGTGATCCTCCCATCTCAGCCGCCCAAAGTGCTAGGATTACTGGCGTGGGCCACTGTGCCTGGCCAATGCTGGGTTCTTCTCCTCGCCTCCCCTCAGGTGGCACACCATTTCTGTTTGTCTCTTTACTGATGAAGCTCACTCTGGTCACTTGATTAAGGTGGTGTTTGCCAAGCTTCCAATCTGTAAAGTTATTTTTTTCTCTTTGTAATTAGTAAGTATTTTGTGGAGAGGAATGTGAAACTAAGTATTCCACTGTGCAGTAAACTTTTAATTAATTAATTAGTCAATTAATGTCTTATGGACTCATGGTTTCTATTTTATTCAGTGGGTTGTTCCTGCCATCACTTATTTTGATACTCAAATATCAAATCAAATTTTGATACTCTCACCTTCCTTTCAAAACCTAGCAGTCACTGCTTTGTCCGATAGAAGCTGGCGTATGTGTCATTTGACTTGCTCCATTATTGTTTAGGACCTTCTTTATTGTTGCTGTTGTTGTTTTGGCACAGAAAGATGGTTTAAGTTCATCTTTTACTTTCCCTGCAGCTACTGAAATCAGCCATTTTTCCAAGGGACCCTGGTTCCTTTGAGTGGAAAATGGCATTTAGAAGCCAAGATCTTGGTGGTAGACATGTCTGTTGGTATCGGGACATTGCTGCCTCAAGCCCGCTTAGTGGACAAGCTGCATACATCCATACACACCTACATTTGTTTCTATATCTATTTATATGTGTATTAAACTTTAGTTCACACCAATAACTTCAATTCCAATCTAATACCATAAGGTTTACTCTAGGTTTCTCTCTTTTTGTATTTGTAAATTTTCCAACACTGTGAGGTCTGGCTTCCATTAGTCTTAACATATTTACTTAATTAATCATTTGTATGTACTCAATATCAATATTGATATTGATTGATCTGTGTCAATCAATATCCAATCTCTGCTGCCACCTCCCCTCTAGCACTAATGCCTGTCTTCTTCCTCTTGGGCTCTGATATCTTATGCTGGGCTGCTCCATCGTGACCTTTCTTTTGTCCTGTTGGGCTCTGACTCCACTTGCTGGGCCATAGCCCCCAACGCTGCCATGGATGCCCTCCTCATCCCATTCAGGCTCTGATTCCACACACCAGCCTATACTCCACCTAGAACTCTCCTTACCCTGCTTGGGCTTTGATGCCCTAGGTTAGACTACCTCAATCCCTATGCCTTCCTCTTCCTGTTCAGCCCTGAACCCCCACACCAGGCTTCCCATCTTCATGGACACCTTCCTCCCTCAGCCTGGGATCAGGCACCTTCACTGAGCAGCCCTCCTCTCCTCCATGGACCCTGCTCAGGACCACCATAGTCCCATTCCACCACCAATGGCAGCTGGGCCCAGGAAAAACATGTAGATGTTGTATTCTTTAAGTTCTTTTGTATTTGAAAATGCCTGGCTATTGTCTTTATATTTGAACATCTTGATGTGTTAAAATATTTTTGGATTTCACTTTTTTTTCTCTTAGAACTTTGTAGATTGTGCTCCATTGTCTCCCGGCATTATGTTTCTCTGAAGAAGACTGAGCCCAACATAAATTATGTTGCAAGGTGGGTGCAGTGGCTCACGCCTGTAATCCCAACACTTTGAGAGGCTGAGGTGGGTGGATCACTAGAGGTCAGGGGTTCGAGACCAGCCTGGCCAACATGGTGAAACCCCATCTCTACTAAAAATAGAAAAATAAGCTGGTTGTGCTGATGCATCCGTGTAATCCCAGCTATTCGGGAGGCTGAGGTGGGAGTTGCTAGCATTAAGACTGGGGAAACAAAGGGAAAAGCTTGGAAGTATCAAAACATAGAGCCTGGGGGAGGGCCTCAGGCCTCTGGGAAAAGAGGCTTTGGCAGTCTGGTGCTGGTCTTTCTAGAGCAGAAGGTAGGGCATAATGAGACTGGTTCTATGAATTTGGAAAAACTGCAAACGAGACCCAAGTGATATTAGAAGAAACTGCTGGGGTGAAAAAGAAGCAGCACTGGGTGATGCTGACAGTAACATGACAATTGGAAGTAGACAGAGGGGGTAAGTCCCCTCTTCAGCCTTGCCGCCTCTCTCTATTGCCTCCTATTGGCAGAACTTCCCCTAGCTGGCAATAAGAAACATTTGCAGAGTCCCTGTTGTAACATCACAAAGCCAACTACAGAAAGTGGGTTTGAAATTGAGAAACAATAGCTTGACTGGAACAACATTTTAACTGAACTATATCTTGGTTTTGAGTATTAAGCTATCCTCCCACCTCAGCCTCCTGAGTAGCTGGGGCTACATGGGTGTGTCACCATGCCTAGCTACTTTTTGTATTTTTATAGAGATGGAGTTTCAATGGTCAGGCTGATCTTGAACTCCTGACCTCAAGTGATCCACCTGCCTCAGCCTCCCAAAGTGCTTGAATCATAGGTGTGAGTCACTGCCCCAGGCTCTTGAGTAATATTTTATTCTAGGTCAGATGCTTTGTCCCTCTTTTGCATTTGGTTTTATTTATTTATGCTATACTTCGAGTGTGTGGTTGCTACGTCCTTTATTTGAGTGACTAAGTCCAGACATTCTATTTGTCTGACATTGATGACAGACTCTTCTCCTGTGTCTTGATTCTATTTTCAAAAAGGGAAATTACTATCTTTACCCCAAACAACACAGCCACGAATTTCTCCTCCTCCTCTTCTATTCTTCCCCTCCTCCTTCTTCCTCCTTCTCCTGTCCTCTTTGCCCTCCTCCTTCTTCCCCCTTTTTCTTCTTTTTCTTTCTTCTCCTCTTCCCCTTATACTTCTCCTCTTGTTCCTCCTTGTTTTTTCTCTTCCTCCTCCTCCTTCTGCTTCTCAGTTTCTCTTCTTCACTCTCCTTCCCCAAACTCCTAATTTAATCCCTTGACCTCACTTTGTTTTTAGACTTTTTTCCTCTTTCACCTTCTCTTCTTTCTTCCTCATCATTCTAAATAAATTTTAAGTCAATTTTCTTCTTTACAAACTGAAAACCCATGTTTCCCATGTCAACATTTTATAAGCATAGTTTTGTTTGTAAAATCAATTTGTAAATTTTTAAAAGGGGTTTGATAGAATTAAGATAGTATTTTGGCCAGATCCAGGAATACTGAAATCCTGTCATTGACTACAAAAAATTTCTAAGGGAGAGACACATAAAGAAACAGGAAATAAATGTCAAAGAAAAAAATAGCATATCACAGCACTTGTATCCCAAATCCCCACAGGCTTGTCTTGTAAACTTGACTGGAGCAATGACCAAGGCTAAAAGAGCCTTACGGCATGTTTTTCTCCTCCTTAGCCCAACCCCAAGTCCTGGGTCTTACCACACTTTGGTCTGCAGGGACAGGGAACTGTCATGATGAGCATGCCTGCATGTAAATTTGAGGAGACGATGATGTCTACAAGACTTCCTACTGCTCCAGTCATATGGAAGGAGGCAATGGAATAGAAGGGCCATAGTTATGACCTCTGAACATATGTTGATCCTGCCCATCAGTAAACTTGGCCCAACTGGCATGACTCAAGAGAGACAGTGAAGCAGGGAGGGAAAGAGGAAGTAAAGGGTCATCTTGGATGAATCTCTTTCCCTAGAGCCCTGTGCTGCTTTGTGGAAGCAGGACTAATAGAACATCACAATTATATTAACTCTTCATGAGCCTTTGACTACATGGTTACGGATCCACACACAACACTTGCATCTTAATGATAAGAGTGGAGACTGGGAGAAATGGCTCCTCCAGGCCAAATACCACTGTGAGTGACACAAAACAGGACTCCGTTTTGAAGAACCTCATTCTCTCAAACACCTTTGTGGTCTGAAACTGCTTTTGGATGATGTGGATGTGTGCCTCCCTGTCACAGATGTTGTGAGTGTGAGTCCTTTTGTCGGCTGGCGGCAATGGGTGGATTGATTGGATGAGGGGTATCTTCAGTAACAGTTGGTACGGTTACCTAACTGCTGACATAAAGAAGCTTCACATAGGCTGCTCTAAAAGCCGCAGCATAGTTCTGGAGATGTCTTCTCAAATTTATTTTATTTCTGCCTAATTACTTTAGAGAACAAGTAATTTTAAGCAATAAAGGATAATGGAAAGGACATGGGTTTTGGTGCCAGAAAGAACTGAGTTCTTGCTGTGGCTTTGGCATATACAGCTCTGTGAACTGAGTGATTACATAACTGCTAGGAGCTCTATTTGCAGTTTCCTTAACTGTAAAACAATGGTCAACAATAATGTAGTCTAAAAACTAAAAACTACCAAGCCAAAAAAACAGTGGTGGTGATTTAAAAAACAAACTTTTTTTTTAAAATAGAGACGGGGTTTCACTATGTTGGTCAGGCTGATCCTGAACTTCTGACCTTGTGATCCACCCGCCTCAGCCTCCCAAAGAGCTGGGATTACAGGTGTTAGCCACTGCACCTGGCCTGGTGGTGAATTTTAAAAAAATTCACATAGCTGACAGCCTGTTGGAAAAACATCTGAGAATTTTCACCTGTAGCAACATCTGAGGCAAAAGTTTTATTGACCCTTTCTTAAATTTGGATTTTATGAAGAGGAATATCAGTTCACCATATATTTATGGCTACCGAGGCTTATATAAGACTTGCATTTATTTTTTAAAAAAAGAGACAGGGTCTCACTGTGTTGCCCAGGCTGGTCTGAAATTCCCGGGCTCAAGCAATCTTCCTGCCCCTGTCTCCCAAAGTGCTGGGGATTACAGGCATGAGCCACCACACCCAGCCTAAGACCTGCATTTTAATGAATGCAGAGTTGGTAGATATATTCTTTCCCTCTGTAAAATCCTAGGTAAGGATTCATGTGCCCATCTGATGTCTCAATTATTTTGGCCAATAATTAGAACATATTAATTAATCAAGCAAGAAATTTATTCTGGCAAGATCACCAAGAGTGATTTTTCTAAAGCCAGATGTTCTAGTGGGAGCCCTATGATAACACACCTGTTTGGAATATATTCACCACAAAGAAATAATCTTTAATTATTCCTATAATAGAGATATCCTGGACCTATTTCTGAGAAAAACTCTGGCTGTGCCTAAAGATTGGCCCACCTCAGTATAGGCATTGCTCAGGAG